TTCCTCTTGAAGAAAAATTCCTGCGCTGTGGTCTGTTGGTGTTCAGATGAAGCTCTTGCAGTTCTGTAGTGGTTAGCCCTTCATTGTGTCTCCATCAACTCTTCCACATCCTCGAAACTCACATCCAACCCTATGGAATTCCCCAATGCCACAATACTTTCCACAACTGGCATAGGCTCCTCAGGGTTAGCCTCAAACCTTTCAGATTCCTTCTTGTTACACATTCAGGTCACAATTTTCTCCAAGCAGAGTTCAAAGTCCTGCAAGTCACTCCCTCCCAAGCCTTACCCGAAAGGTTTATGCAGTGGGAGATATTGAAGTGATCTTTCCGGAAAACTCTTAGGGTCAATTCAGTGTCTGAGGTCACTTCACAGCACTTTTCAAACAATGCTTTGGTGTACATTTTTTCGAAGTTTGAAATGACCTCCTGGTCCATGGGCTGGAGGAGAGGAGAGTGGTATTAGGGAGCAAAAACTTCACTGTGATGAAACTAAACTCCTGCACCATTTGCTCTTCAAAGTCTGGAGGATGAAATGGAGCATTGTCCATTACCAGGAGGCACTTGACTTCCAATTTATTTTCCAGGAGGTATTTCTTCACACTGGGGTCAAACACTTCATTGAACCAATCGAGGAAAATGTCCCTCGTGACCCATACCTTACTGTTAGCCTTCCACATCCCTCAAATTAGCCTTGGTGACCCAGTTTTTTTGAAAACACTGGGATTTTCAGAGTGATACACCAGTAAAGGCTTTACTTTGCAATCCCTGCTAGCACTACTAGAAAACATGAGAGCTAGCCTGTCTTTCATAGGCTTGTGTCCTGGCAATGCTGTTTCCTCCTTTGTGATGTAGGTCCTCTTTGGCATTTTCTTCCAAAACGGGCCTGTTTCGTCACAATTGAATACCTGTTGGGGTTTCAATTGTTCAGTCTCTGTACCCCTTTAATTCCTGAAAATATTTTTCAGCCGCTTTTTTGTCAGAACTGGCAGCCTCGCCATTCCTTACCACACCGTGTATGCCACTATGCTTAAATCTCAAACCCGCCTTTGCTGGCCTTAAAATCACAAACAGCATTTGTTGCAGGCATTCTTTTTACGAGATCATCATGCAACTGCCTTACCTTATCACAAATTATTGACTGCATAACACTATCTCCTGCTAACTGTGTTTTTGGGTAATCCACACCAACAATATCCTCCCCTTCGAGGAATTTGAAATCTCCGTTTTTTGTCAGCATGTCTACCGCCGTTTGCAACAACAGCTCCTTGATTTCCTTATCCTTCGCCATGATCGAAGTGAATGGTTGAAGGGTGTTTGCCAACAATCCAAACAGGCTCTGAAACCATGCACTCCACTTTCATATTTTTCAATTTCTTTCTTTCTTTAATTCATCTGTGTTCCTCAATTTCTTTACTCAAAGGGCTTGGCGTTACTTTCTTTGGGCCCATGGAGACTTCTTTAGCAGTCTGCAAGCACAAAAAAAAATGGATTATTATGAAATGTATCATATTGAACCTCTTGGGGAGATGGTCACTCTGAATAAAACATTGCCACAGAGTGGTAAGGTGCGGAAGTCCTGGCTTTGTGTGCCGTTGACGCTGGGATGCCGTTCGATGCATACCAGATGTTTTGCCGAATCACGAGGTCAGTCATGACCGCGAGCTATATTTTTTTGCCGAAAGAAATTGCTTAAAGTCGGATTTCACGAAGTTGTGGCTACCGAAAGGCGGGGGCCCACGTACCTAGTCTTTTTATTAGTAATTAGACAGTAATTAGTATTAACAATATTAATTTGTTTGGCCGAGTAGGCTATAACCTAATATATTAAGCCTACAGTTACTGCCTCGTGAGGTCATTTTACAATTGTTAGATTAAAGGATATGAAAACAAAATTTCGTTCGGGATTTTAACTCGGATGTTTAGCCACCCAGCATAAAACTCCAAGAAAGGCAGTGCATCTTCGAAGGACTACTTATTTTCCATCGTCCTCAATTTTGTCTCCTCAGGATGCGACCCACACCAGTCGACTAACACCCAGGTACCTACTTTGATGGTAGGTGAACAGGACAACATGTGTAAGAAACATGTCAATGCTTATACCCCGCCAGGAATCGAACCTGGGCCCTCCATGGTGCTAAAAGCGAGAGAGCTTTGCCATGGGGGTTACTATTTTTTTTATAGTAAACAGTCAAGGTGGAAACAATGGGAATTAATGATCTATGCAATGGACTATTGATTCAGATCCTTGACTCAAGAGCCCTTCACTAGCATTATAGGGAATCTCCCTTAACCGACAATGGTCCAACACAGTCTACACTTCACCCGTGTAAGTGCTACAAAAGTAGATTTAACGTTTTTTTTTACACATTTTCAAATGTAAAAAAACAAAAAGTAGATCTACTTTTTTTTTGCATACTTTCAAATGTTGAAAAAACGTATAACACTACCATCCGACTTACGACCGAGTTTGGTTCCGAGAAACCGGTCGTAATCGAAATGTCGTAAGTCGAACTTTAACTACTGAATATCAACAAAACATCTGTTTTAATGACTTTATTTTTATTGTTTAATTTTGTATTTCATGTTTTTACTTTACTTTTTAATGCTGTTATAATGTATTTTATACTGTAAGGTTTAGGGATAAACACTGTGTACTACACAAATATTTGTTTATTTCCCAGAAATTTGGCATAA